GAGAACCTAGAACTCTGTGACTCTGTGGTGCTGTATGTAGGAAAGGAGATAAGAGAACCTAGAACTCTAGAAATCTAGAACCTAGAACTCTGATAAGAGAACCTAGAACCCCAGGATCCATACCTGGGAAGTCAGTTGCCAATATATCCCTCAATATAGAATATGGATTGTTTATGATGTGTTTGGCACATTCAGTTATCACAGTTCATAAATTGGCTATTTGACATGGGTACTTTCATCTCCATTTTATAGATGAGAGAAAGAAACCAAAGTACAGAATTTAGATTTGGTTCCAAATAAGGTGTTTGTTCAACACATGCCACAGTGACTGATGGAGATGTATTAGATATTTTTTAAAAGCCTTTAAAAGAAGCTGGGCAGACTACTTGACACATTTCCAATGTTCAGGCCTATGTAAACAGATTAAGTTATCTCACAGAATTGAATCTCTACAAATTATTTAATTAGAAACCATTTGCTTTTCATGAGTAGTAGTGTTCTTTTGAGTTTCACTGACATTTTTTTCTAAGGTCAACAAGTTCTCAAACTTGCATCAAAATCACCTGGAGGACTTAAGTAAGATTCAGTAGGGCTGATGTGGCCTGAGAATTTGCATTTTTAGCAGTTCCTTGGTGATGTTGACACATCACTTTGAGAATGATTGATGAAAAAAACCAAAACAGAACATTGTATTATTGATTCTTTGGTGAAACAGTAGGAAAACAGTCCTGGAAGGGAATTCCAAGACCACAGATAGAAATTGAAATTTAGATGTTTCCAAAATTCACTGGATTATATTTAATACTCGTTACTGAATGTGGAGTCTAAAAGACTTGTATTATTACTGTATTTTTGGAGAGGGCTTTTGATTACAAAAGGAAATCAAGAATGGAAAATCACTATGTAAATATTGAAATGCAGTGGCAACTTAAAAACAATATAACAGGTTTGTATGTATTTTTCTCTCATTAAAAACAGTATGATTAATTGCTATGTATGAATTTTCTCATGGATTCCCCCCCCTTTCTTTTTCTTCTTTTTTTGGTCTCTGTAGGTGGCAAATCTTCCGAAAGACTATAAGATAGCCCTCAAATATGTCCCCGGGATGGATGTTTTGGTAAGTAAACTGTACATTTCTGAGTTCCTTTTTAGTAGCTGACAAAAGAGATGGGATCATTCTATTGAGACAGGAAATTATGGGCCATTTAGGAGTTAGCTAATTGTCAGTATTTGAAGAAAGTATCCTTGGAATTCAACTTGGATGGTTTTGTTTTTGTTTTATCCTCAAGTAACTGCTAAACTTTACTTACAGGTAAGCATTTCAGCACATGTGTCTTAGACCTGTTAATTCTAAAGTGAATAAGATCATCTTCCTTAGAGCTAGCCACAGATTTCTCTTTCCTTTAGCTTCCTCCTAAAAAACGCTTGAGTGTAAAATTGGGCAAATTTTTTGCATATTCTGGAAAGGTCCTTTATAAGCCTCTTTCCTATTTAATTTGAGACCACCATGTATTTTATCTCAGAATTTATTAGTCAAAAGATTCTGAGAAACTTACAATATAAATACGAGGTTATGATTATAAATACATCTTTATTACTGCAACCAAGAAATTTTAATTATTTTCCTGATTACGAGTTATCAGAATTCATACATGAAGAAATCTTGCAAGCATAGAGATGCCTATGTACCCACCACATAGCTTGTTAAACCTTACCATGGTGCAATACTTGCTTCAAATATATTTTTTAATGAAACATTATAAATATTATTAAAGACCCCTGTATTGCCTCTTTCTCCACTGGTCCTCACTTTGTCTCTTATAGACAATTTGACTATTAGCAACAAGTCTTCTGCGCTGGAATTTTTCATTCCACTGCATGTTTTCAAGGCTTGGCATGGGGATAGCATCCCTTGGGGTTGTGTTGAGTGCAACAACACATAGTAACGCCACCTGCTCTTTTCCATTTACTGAAAATCTGTACTAACACATAAGTAAGTTACTGTATTTTTTGCAGACTTAATAGCATTACACTGTATATACCACTTTGCACCTTGCTTATGTTTTGCAACACACGTTTGACATGTGTTGATCCATGTTGATTCATTTTAACTGCTGTATTGTGTTCCTTGAGTTAATTTAAAATCATTTGGGTGACTCTGCAAGTAGACATCTTTCCATGATTTCTGAAGTTCTTATTACAGATCCACTTTGTGTAAGCTGTCTTAGCTTTGAGTACTTTTTGTGGGTTAGTCAATCAAAATTAGTACCAGTTTCAGTGTGTTAAGCACATCCCAAAGTGCTTGTGCTTAAAAAGTCTTTCAAAGACTGACTAAGGTTATCATTTCAAGAGAATGTCAAAGGCCTATTTCTTTTCATTAGGAAAGTAAGCATTTTAGTTAGCATGAACTATCTAAAGTTTCTTAGAACATTGCTCTTCATGTTGAACCAGATATCCTGAAATCTAGGTCAGTGTCTGTCCCATTGAATTAGGGGAGTTCTCTGGAAATAGGAATGTAAAATCATAGCAGACTGGAAGTTAATTAATCATTCAATTACTCAGGGAACAAGTACAGTATTTGTTTAGGAAAAAATAATGGAGCCAGCACCTTACCAGATACTTTAAGAAACAAACACATCACATAGCCTTATGTGCAAAAGACTTTAATAATAACTAGGTGTGGGGGAATGATCGGGCCTTTATATAATGCTTTTTTTTTTTTTAATTTTCAAAATGATTTCACGTATTTATCTCCTTGGATGATTAGAAAAACCCTTCCAGGAAGGCAAGATAGCTACTGTGATTTGTGTGATTTCTGTTTTACAAATGACACAAACTGAGGTTTACAAGTATTTACCCAAGGTTATACGACTAAAAAGTGACAGTCTTAAAAAAAAAAACCTTAGGTCATCTGACATTTAACCTTGGGTTACAGAATGTGAGTATCTAAATAATTACAATAGCAAGGGAAGGTGTTCGTCTTTTTTTCTTTTTTTTTTTTAGATTTTTATTTATTTATTTGAGAGAGAGGGAGAGCTGAGGGAGAGTGAGAAAGAGAGAAGCACACTCCCTGCTGAGGAGGGAGCCAGATGTGGGGCTCAATCCCAGGACCCTGAGATCATGACCTGAGCTGAAGGCAGACGCTTAACCAGCTGAGCCACCCAGGCGCCCCAGAGGAAGGTGTTCTAAGTGAAACATTCAAGTAATAAAGATGTACCCTGACCCTGACTGGAGAAGCATTTAGGTGTGTGATTGCCAAACTGACTCAAAGAAATCATGCAGCTCTTAATGTTAAACTGAAAATAACAAAATAGATTATTTTGTGCTGGTATAATCATAGATTGTGCTAAATCACAGATTTCAGTATGGGCTGGTGGTAGCAAGAGCCAAACTTGTAAAAATAAAGCTGATTCATTGCCACATTTTTTTTTGTGTGTTTCTGTAATTGAGAAAAGTTCACTATTATTTGATCTTGGCATACTGTCTTGGCACAACTGGAGAAACTTTGTTCTTGGCTACCACAATTGGCAAGAAAAATAAGCCCGTGCAGAAGGCTTTGGGCAGAAACTGGTCGTAGGCTTTGTTTTACCTTTATTTTTAAAATGAGTTTCTGCCAAGACCAGAGGAGTTTCCCAGTGGAGAGGCCAGTGATGATTTGTCAGTGGTCAGAGTCCCAGCTGCCTTATCTTTTGTTTCTAAACAATAGAGGGCGGAGTAGGAATCAGAATGGGTACCAGAAAGATTCTTTGGGGCCAAAGCAATAAAATTCTGCCTGAGGCACCAGGCAAAAAAAAGGCTCTAGAATAGAATACAGTTCATTGTCATGCTTTTGCTTTAAAAATCTGCTAAATACTCCTGGGGGGTGGGCACTACTTTTCCAAGAGACGTCCTAGAAAATTACCTAGCAGATTCTCTCTCACAAATAGCAGGATGTGACCAACCAGTTGGTACTTAAATCTGACGATAATTACCAATTCTATTTTAAACTCTTTGAAACTATAATATTGCCAGACTGTTAGGATTTTAAATCACCAACCATAAAAATCCTAAACATTTCTGATCCTTCTATTTACCAGTAATGTTACCACAGGAAGACCAAAAATTGGGTTGCTGAATTTGTGCCACAGATCTAGTCATTCTAATGTTTATAAAATGATATAAACTATGACTTGCTTATAGTATTTGAGTAAAAAAGACATTTCAGTTTTAATTAGATTCATCAGTTTTAACTTTTTATTCAGAAATAATTTCAAATTTACAGAAAAGTTATGAGAATATTCTAAGAACACTCACAAACTCTTTAATCCATATTCATCTATTTTTAACATTTTGCCTCATTTGCTTTACTAAATTCTTGCTTTCTGTGCACAGGTTGTTATTTTTCTAAACTCACTGAGTCACTTGTATACTTAGTGGCTGTTTACCCCTAAATACTTAAGTGTGTATTTCCTAAGTAAAAGATTTTCTCTTATGTAACCACAGTATGATTGTCAGTTTCAATAAATTTATCAATAACCCAAATATTTAAATCTATTGGCTGTATTTCAGTTTATCAAAATTTATCTTTCTTTTTTTTTTTTTTTTTGGTACTTCTTTTCCTCCAGTACAAGATCCAGTCTAGGATAATGGTTTTTGCATTTTTGATATTATGTGTGATAGAGTAATGGCTCCCCAAAGATGTCCTAGGCTGTGAATATATCACCTTACATGGTGAAAGGGACTTGCAGATGTAATTAAGGATTTGGGGATGGGGAGTTTATCTGGGATTACCCAGATGGGCATGGTCTAATCTTGTGAATCCTTGTAAGAGGGAAGCAGGAGTGTGAGAGCCAGAAAGATCGATTAAAAGATGTTGCACTGTTGGCTTTAAAAATGGGGCAAGGGGCCACGGGCCAAGGGATGCAGGTGGTCTCCAAAAGCTGGAAAAGGCAGGGTGCCTAGGTGGCTAAGTTGGTTAAGTGTCTCCCTTCATCTCAGGTATGATCCCAGGGTCCTGGGATTGAGCCTGGGCTCCCTACTTAGCGGGGAGTCTGCTTCTCCCTCTCCCTCTGCCCCTCTCCCAGCAGAAAAAGTTGCTCCTGAAACAAGGCCCCGAGACCCTCATAAGGTGGCACCTTTCCAAATCCTCTTCCAGCCCCACGTTCCCACTTGTTCCCTGTGGCCCCTGTTCCTCTGTGCGTGGCTTCCTCTATACCTAGTTGGACCTTTGATACCAGTAACTCCAGACTGTTGGCTTCATTTTCACTTGTGTAAGGGAACCTTCCCTTTCCTCCTTGATGAAACCAAATCCGCCGGTTGGAAACGCTCTTTGTGACCTTCTTCAAAGTAGCAGTTTTCCGTTTGTGGATTTATTTAATTGATAACCTTCCACTTAAACCTGTCGACTTCATGAGGGCAGGGATTGTCTCTGTTTGCTCTGTTTTATATCATCAGTGCCTAATGACTGATAGGCACTTCATGAATATCTGCTGAGAGAAAGTGAAGAAGGAAGGAGAAAAGTTCTCATGTAATCTCTTGTTTCCCCGAGGCACAAATTTGACCTGAATAGAGTCCACAAGATTGTTGTATTGATTGAGTGCCTGTAACTCCTCAAACAATATCTGCACAACATTATTGCTATCTTTTTTTAGATATATGTACATTTTATTAAAAATCTTATGTATAAAGTATTATTCAATTTTTAGGAATCATGGTTTCCTTGAGGCTCCTGTTAAACTACTTTCATTGAGTCATTTCCATATTCAAGGACTTTCTCATTGTTCCAGTGACTAAAGGCTGAATGCCAAATTCCTGAATCTGATGTTCATGACTCTTCATAATCTTGCCTCATCCTAACCAGCTCATCTTAATATCTATTACTCCCCAACACAAACCCGCCACCCCAGCAAGATGCATCCCTGCCTCCTAAAATTACCGTGCTTATTCTCAACTCCAGGACTTTGCTCAGTGCTACTTCCCTTTGCCACGAATGCCATTTCCTCTTCCATCCACTCATCCCATTTCTACCTGCAGAATCATGCAATATCTTGTAGCTGAAGGCAACCTCATGGTCCTCTCATCCAAGGTCAGGATGAGATCCCACTTTATCCCCAGGCCCATTTCCTACCGTTCAAGAGT